TGTAGAAAATCTATTAAAACTCTATAAAGCTGGTTTAGAAAATCATATAGAATTAGCCTATAGAAAAGCTGTAGAAATTTTATAGAATGGTTTCTTTAGAAATTCTATACATTATTTTCTTACGGGAAGATAGCCGTTAACACTGTTAAATTACATATATAAATCATCAAAGAAAGGTAAATGCATTGTTCGAATAAAGGACATAATAATACATACAATTGAAATACCACCAGATTCAACCATGAAGCCTCCGTGGTCTAATGGTAGCTATGCTACACGATGTATCATTATGTCCTTTATTCGAACACTGTATATACCTTTCTTTGATGATTTATATATATAATTTAACAGTGTTAACGGCTATCTTGATTTATATTATACGCAACTGTTTGTTTCTAGTCGTACTTATTGTGTAATGGAGTGTATCTGGTGGTATTTGAATCTGTTCAACCATGAATCCTCCGTGGTCTAATGGTTATGACGCTTGCATTGACAGCGGGAGGTCGCAGGTTCGAGTCCCGCCAGAGGCATTCTATTACAAAATTTCTTTATAAATTTATTTACAGGACTACATTCGCTGAGAGCTATGCTACACGATGTATTATTATGTCCTTTATTCGAACACTGTATTTACCTTTCTTTGATGATTTATATATATATAGGCATATATATATACATATACATATATTAGCACTTTTATATATATATATAGATATATGTATATTATTTTCCTTGCTTAATTTTGTTTTGCACTTATATATTTTTAAAATAATTCTTTATTTGTCCTCGTATATGTATGTCTACACATTGGAAAATTTTGACTGGGTATCCGGGGACCTGCGGTTGCCATAGCATAACATCGAATCATTTTTCATTAGTTTTTTTTTTAAAGATTCAGTTTGTATTTAAGATGTATGTATGCAGCACCACCTGTTGAGTGCTACCGATATAAATGGGGAATGTCAATCAATTATTAATTATTAGGTCCATGATTAAAACAACAATCAAATGATAAACAACGATAAGCACGAGTGGCAGTCTCGCCCGTGCAAATACAGACTCTTAAATAATAATTAGTAGGCTACTGATTTACCTCTTTCTTATCTAACTTGTTTTAAAATAAACGTGAATGGACGAAATATTCGTGTTAAATACATTTAAAACTTAACTAAACAATGGTAAAACTATCCCCCGCCGGACACCATCCCAGTATTTCTGAGTCAAGGTTTTGGGGCTAAAATTAAATATCAAAGATTGAAAATGAGACTTTCTCAACTACAAAAGCTTAAACATATAGGTTTAAAAATAATTATTAAATTAAAAAAAATATATAAATGACGAGGTAGAATGTTAGAATCAGTAAGTTAGACTTCAGTACTACGTCAAAACAAGTGATTTAAATATTAACACTATAAGTTATTATTTAACACTTAAGTTAATATTTAGAAAGCATGGTGGTAACAAGATGATAAATTATTCCATATAAAATGATAATCAATATTTATAAAACGCCAAAGAAGGCTCTGAACAATAACAAGTAGCACCACCTGTTAAGCGCTACCGATATAAATAGTGATGTCAATAAATTATTAATTATTAGGTTAAAACAACATATGTTAATTCAGATTATCAATTGTTCTTGTCTCTCATAACCTTTTGCTTATATAATATTTAGAATAAGTGATAACAATTATTTTTACGTCAATGATATTCGGTTATTAATTAGGTTTCCGGCAACCATCAGTTTAACAGGTGTCCGGACTCGTGAAGTATGAAGGAACAGGTTGCGTTAGCGGGCTTGGCCTTGTGTCTCGTATTATCGTCTGTAGCGGCCTATACCGTCCCCCCAGCCCAATTGTCACTGATTTCACCGAAGGGACTAAGGATTTCAATTCCAGGTTTGCTTTTAAAAATTTTTAGTTTATTATTGTCTAGATTTGATTTATATTTTTTATTTACTAATCCCACACACAAATATGTGTGTCTGTATCGTAAAAGACACATGCAATACTGTATATTTACAAACTACTATGTATACTGTGTAATTGTAATGAATAATATATAATTCTTGTTGTTTTGATCGCTAGCAAAAGGTTATAAGCCCATTAATGCAAGGTGACTCAGGGTCTATTATTTCATAATCAAAAAATTGCAATAAAAATAACAGTAGAAACAAAATTACAAATGATTGTGAGACATACAATATAAAGGTTAAAGGTTATTCATATATACTAATTGTAAGTTATTTAAAAATATCATTACTTGGCTCATTTATATTTGATTTGATTTTATCAATACAATAGGTAAAACATTAGCAGCACTTAATTTTTTATTATTAAAATTTGTGTATACATCTTGTTGGTGTAAAGTACTGTTTGTCGTTAATTTATTGTTTATATCATCTAGACTTACACGGCTCATTTTTATAGGAAAAACATGATAATCATTTACATAAAATATTACAGTACATACATTAAAATGTATAATAAAATCTATAGGCCTATATAAAAGACATTAAAAAGGAATGGACAACAGGATCATTAAAAACATTAAAACAGGTATAATAAATTGGTAAACAGCAAAGAAATATTAAAATTGTGATATTTTTTTTTTAATGAGTCATTCATTATATATTGCAGATGGACCTGGGATTAGCCTATTTGCCGTACACTACAGCATTAACAAGGCCTTACCAGGAGTAGCAGCCGGGGATTGGAACTATGATGTGACAAGTCCAAAAAGTACCGCACTTTTTTAATTTGTAATAATCACAATAATATACTATATAAAGTAAAATTGAAAGCAATAAAACTGAAAAAAAAAACATACAGTATGTTATTATTTGTAATTACTCTTATGTATTTTGTTTTCTTACTTCCCTTCTTCTCTTTCCCCTTTTCTTGTCATCTTTCCTTTTTTTGATTATTACTGATGTCATCATCAGTAATAATGATGACATAATTAATGTCGAAATATTTATATCCCGACACGATGGCGTGCATTTCGATACTTCAAGTATGTATTACAATATCTCAAAAATAGCAAATTAGTTTGTAAAATTAGAGATTGTAAAATGAGAAATAAATGAGAAATAACCTTATTCGAAAGTTGTGAATAAATCAACACTCACACTTTAGGTAAAGCTGGAACGATTATCTAGCTCAGTGGAGGTAACCATTCCGAAGGAGTAAAGGAAATTGGAGCAGTCATGACTGCTGCCTGGTGGGATGATTGATGGTGGTATAAATCAACAGGCAAGAGATGGCTGTGCTTGTGTATCATTATATTTCCGTACACTACAACTGACGTGTTACGCATATGAATGACCAGTCAATTCCAACACATCAAATGAAAACAAAAATATTCTTCTATCCAAACAATTATGTTCTTTAAAGATTAAATTTGATTTTAACTTTGGGTGCAAACGAGTTCAATGTAATCAAGCCGGTCATGGAATATCGGCCTTTGAAAGACGTATGATACTTGAGCCATGCTTGAGCTCACACTGTCACTTGACTTTAAAGTGGCGTAGGCCTACAGGTCTTCCTCAATAAAAAAAAAAACAAACAAAAAAAAACAAAAAAAAAAACAAAAAAAAAAAACGACATTCTATTGTATTTTACTTTTTAATTTGATTTTTTCTTGATCATAACTGTTTTTATTCATGATGAATATCAATAATATCTTAATTGAATTGTCTGTTTTTAGATGGTTATTGGGTTCATGAAAACACGCTAGTGACGGTGAATGATGGTGATGTGGTCAACTACTGGCTATATGTTCTTTACAATGGACTTGGTTATCAGGAACTTGATTTGTCTTGGACAGGTAAACACATTAAAGATGTACGGTACCGCGACAATTAATAGGTAGTTTTCGTCTCACGACGTTAGCCTTAACTACCCAACATGCAATGCGATAGCTCCACCACTTTTTGTAAACAAATCGAAATACGCATACATGCAAACCCGTAACTAACGTACGTCGAGCACGTATAGATCCGAAATTAACGTACTCCGCAACGCAAGATGAATACATTATGACGTAATCCGTTAACGTTAAGGTTAACGTCGCGGCAAAATATTGTTTTAATTTCAACCACATGGTAAAGCTGCATTCACATCGGACCGCTTTTCCGATGCGTGCTGAACACTCAACGTCCCTATTCTTTTACACACTGATAGGTTCGGTAGTTCAGCTTCCGATCCGAAAATTCGGATTCGGTGTGGAAACAGCTTAAACCAGGTCTTGTATGTTCTACATATGTTTTCATATGTTTTTGTTATTTTGGCTGTGTATAATGCAAGTTTAATGTCTGTAATATAATACTAAATATATTTTATCTTTAACCCATTGTTAAAGATAAAACCATTGTATATAACTTGTTAAAGATAACCCATTGTTCAAGCACCTGGATCCAAATTTCGACTGTGTCGAAAATATTCCTTGATTCTTTGATCCTGTATAAATATGTTTTATTAAATAAATGATAATTGACATCATTATTATCATTGTTGTTAACTTGGAGAATTCGATTATTGATTTCGAGTCATGTGCATTGTTTTATTATCAAATGCAGGTCACACTGCGTATATATTAGTGTCTTATAAAAATAATAAACTGAATAACATTCTAGCCTCTGAATCGAAGCCAACTAATGCTCCACCGAAAGTGCCTACGACCATACCAGGTGACGGCGGAGATGCTGGCACAGATGCACCAGGTGGGTTCTAGTTTGTGGTAGGCATTGTCAAAATTCGACTGCTCATTACAAAACTGTACTGGGTCAGAACATAGTGTCGTTTTATAGGCTATAATGAATGATTCTCAGAGAAGATAGTCTCAATCTATATAGGCCTAATACGATATAAAAAAATGATGACATAATTAATGATGATGACATCCTGATGATGACATAATTAATGTCGAAATATTGAATCCCGACACGATGGCGTGCATTTCGATACTTGGAGTATGTATTATACTACCGTATCTTATATGGTAAAGCTGCATTCACATCGGACCGCTTTTCCGATGCGCACGCTGAACACTCAACGTCCCTATTCTTTGACACACTGATTGGTTCGGTAGGCTCTACGATCCGAAAATTCGGATTCGGTGTGGACGCAGCTTAAACTAGGTCTTGTATGTTCTACATATGTTTTCATATGTTTTTGTTATTTTGGCTGTGTATAATGCAAGTTTAATGTCTGTAATATAATACTAAATATATTTTATCTTTATACATATTTAACCCATTGTTCAAGCACCTGGATCCAAATTTCGACTGTGTCGAAAATATTCCTTGATTCTTTGATCCTGTAGAAATATGTTTTATTAAATAAATGATAATTGACATAATTATTATCATTGTTGTTAACTTGGAGAATTCGATTCTTGATTCCAAGTCATGTGCATTATTTTGTTATCAAATGGAGGTCACACTGCGTATATATTGGTGTCTTATAAAAATAATAAACTGAATAACATTCTAGGTTCTGGATCGACGCCAACTAATGCTCCACCGAAAGTGCCTACAACCAAACCAGGTGACGGCGGAGATGCTGGCACGTCAGATGCACCAGGTGGGTTCTAGTTTGTGGTAGACATTGTCAAAATTCGACTGCTCATTACAAAACTGTACTGGGTCAGAACATAGTGTCGTTTTATAGGCTATAATGAATGATTCTCAGTGAAGATAGTCTCAATCTATATAGGAATAATACGATAATAAAAAAAAAATGATGACATAATTAATGATGATGACATCCTGATGATGACATAATTAATGTCGAAATATTGAATCCCGACACGATGGCATGCATTTCGATAATTGGAGTATGTATTATACTACCGTATCTTATATGGTAAAGCTGCATTCACATCGGACCGCTTTTCCGATGCGCACGCTGAACACTCAACGTCCCTATTCTTTGACACACTGATTGGTTCGGTAGGCTTTACGATCCGAAAATTCGGATTCGGTGTGGACGCAGCTTAAACCAGGTCTTGTATCACCAGGTGGGTTCTAGTTTGTGGTAGGCATTGTCAAAATTCGACTGCTCATTACAAAACTGTACTGGGTCAGAACATAGTGTCGTTTTATAGGCTATAATGAATGATTCTCAGAGAAGATAGTCTCATTCTATATAATACGATAATCAAAAATTGACTTACGTTTTCCTGGGCTAATGCAACCACAAATTATAACATAGTAAGACATAATGAGCTTATACTATGCCTAAGGTAAAAAACTGATATAAATTGTTGTTTCTAAACAAAGATTTTTATTTTAAGGAATAGGCTACAATGAATGATTCTCAGAGAAGATAGTCTCAATCTATATAATATGATAATCAAAAATTGACTTACGTTTTCCTGGGCTAATGTAACCATAAATTATAACACCATAGTAAAACATACTGAGCTTATACTAGGCCTAAGTAATAAAACTGATATAAATTGTTGTTTCTAAACATAAATATTTTTATTTCAAGGAACATTGATATTTGATGAACAATTCGACACGTTTGATCTCGATAGATGGGAACACGAAATTACAGCAGGAGGAGGAGGGGTAAATGTTACATTTCTCCATCCTTAGGCCTACACAAGCTATAGGCAGATAGAATCATTTCCCTCTGTAAACTGTTCTATAGGCAAAACGTCCATCCTGAGGCCTACACAAGCTATAGGCAGATAGAATCATTTCCCTCTGTAAACTGTTCTATAGGCATAACGTGCAGTCAGACACTGACGATTATACTTTTGTAATTGTTCTTAGTAGTACCATCAATTATTATAAAATATCAATTTATGACTTTGTATCCATGAACCAAATAAAATAAAAATCGAGAATATTATACCACTGCTGCCCCTACTTTAGTGTTATTAGTAGGGTTATTAGGGATTTTCAAAAAATATTTGAGCTTTTATGAATTATTATGAAATATACTATTAGCTTCTATGAAGTAGAACAAAATAAAGAAATATGAAAGTCAGTGGAGGTAGGTGGGTCCCAGAGGAAAAACTACCGTATTAAGTGTACCGTCAACTTTCAACGTATGATCTGAAGTAGGTTAGAGTATTTTTATAATTTTATGTATTTTATATAATAACTAAATTTGATCTTTACTCGTCAGTGATTCCGAAGTTTGAGTGATTAGATTACTGTGGGATAAAGATGTCATGCTGTAGTGGATTCATGTCTTTTAATTAATTACACAATTGCTTTTTAGAACTGGGAATTCCAGTATTATACAAATAACCGTTCAAACAGCTACGTACGAGACGGTAAACTGTACATTAAACCCGTAAGTAAGCTTACTATTATTAGAAAAATTTATTTCTAGGCTTCTGTATTTCTGGGTTTTTTTCTAGATATAATGAAATACCTTAAATATATTTGTGTAAAATAAGTTCCTATGCTACAATATGATGTTGCTATGTATTATGTCTCACAATCATAGTTATTTTACCGATGACAGTTATTTCCTGTATTTCAATGTTTCAAATGATAATAAACGTCTAATATATTAAGTTTAAACACAATCATTGTCCTTAGTCAAAGTAATTTTAATATTTTCTCTTTCTAACCAGTAAGTTGGAGTGCTAATGCACTAGCTATCTGCAAAATAATTAAATACACCCCCACCTTCCTTCACCAATTTAAAGACTCCTGGATACGTTGCTGATATTCGCTATAACCATGGCGATATCATTAGCTAAAAAGGCTAGACGGTACTGATATATTATGGTATTCATCTTGTTTACTTTTTCAGACTTTGACTGAAGACAAATACGGCGATGGATTCTTAAACAGTGGTGTTCTGAACATATGGGGTTGGTGTTTAAGACATCTTACACATGAAATAACTAAAATTCAATCATTCATACATAAGTTTTATTGTTAGGCCTATGTCTAAAGCGTTGGCAAGTGTCTATTTCTTCGTATAACACAATATTTCATTTGTTAAATCACATCTGAAATACACATGATATAGGCTACGGTTTTCTTTTAGCAGATCTACACATTTTCTATGTCCATATTTCAATACATGGATGTATTTCATCGCTATACAGTATAGGCCTATTAGTAAAAATATACAAAACAGTGAAAAACGCTCTCATCTTCATTGGACAGTGCTATAAATGTTGGTATGTATGTGTAAATGCTATATTCTATCAATATCATCAGAATTTTCTCCAAGTATTGCAGTGATATTTAGATAATACCATCATCATTATTATAATGATGTTGATTTGTTATAGGCGCATCACCGGCTGATCTTTGTACCGGTAACTATTACTACGGCTGTGAGAGATCGGGAAGTGCTAGCAACTACATCAACCCTATCCAATCCGCCAGACTTAGGACTGTCAAATCCTTTGCATTTACTCACGGTAGATTGGAAGTCGAAGCTAAGATGCCGACTGGAGACTGGCTCTGGCCAGGTACGATTCATATTACCTACATCAATAAATCAAATAGATATTAATACAGTGCTCAATTAGGCCTATATACAAACATGATGATATAAATCGTATCAAACACAGTTCAACAATGAAAATTCCTTATTAGTTGTATGAAAAATAGGTCTCTGGTGGGAATCGAACCAGGGGCTGCGCCCGACAGCAGGTCAAAGGTCCCCAACGGGGGAGGGCTGAGGTCCCCGACAAGAAAAATATGGGCGTGGTCGGGTGTCCCTCAAAATCCATTGAAAGTGGTGGCGAAGGCCCCCCACCCCAAAAAAATGACAATTCAGGGGTTTCAAAGGCTTATTTAATCGATTTTAGAGTCTATTGACATGTAGAAAATACATATAATTTTTTATCTCCTCGACTGAAGGGAGGGGGGTGGGTGCGTAAGGCTCTCCCGACAGTATCCCCCTGGCCCCGTAGCGCCTCCAATGAATCGAACCCGCAATCTTTCGCTATCTCGGCTAAAGCTCGGTTTTCATGAATCGCTCACCTTATCGGCGACATTCGCCGACAGTTATCGGGAATGCTGAACCTGTTTGAAATTTGCCGATTGCGTTGCAGACGAATCAGGGTGCATTCGTCTGCAACAAAATCGGCATATTAGAACCAGGTTCAATCTTCCCGGTAATCATCGGCGACTGTCACCGATAGGGTGAGCGATTCTATTGAAACCAAGCTTTAGCAGCAACAACTTTATTTGGCCTATTATAAAACTGGTCGGTCTCCAATCGGAAGAACACAACTCTTCGGGAGAAAATTAATAGAATATTTGACTCTGGGCTCACTTATGTTATCGTCCGGAAATCGGCCTTCCCGTCGGGGACATCGGACTAGTACCATTTCCCCTCGTCGGAAAAATCCTGGTACCACGACTGTTGTCAATATTAATTTATCGGATTTATCGCTGACGGGGATCTAGCTTTTAGTTTATTTGTAAATGAATATCTTGCAGCAATCTGGTTGCTCCCGAAACACAACAATTATGGTGGATGGCCAGCGTCTGGTGAGATTGACCTTGTCGAATCCAGGGGTAAGGTTATGTTTTAAGTTGTTTTTTTTCAGCTGCTCCAAGCTATATCATAAAATTATGGAATTGCTATCGGTAACATTTAGAACTGTGTCGTGTTTGCTTTTCAGTTATTAAACAGTACAATAGGCCTATATATATCTAAAATATATTAATACATATATAACTTTAGAAAAAATAGTGCAGGACTCTGCTTTCGGTTAAAAATACTTTTTATAGAAAATAAAATAAATATCATTATTATTATTAGGCCTATATATTTTATTATTAATGCTATTTCAAGATATTATAGGTGATCATTCGTATTATCATTATAAACACCTCCGATAGCTATTTCAGTTGTATTCGGGGTTTTCAGTAACGAGATAAACATATACAGAACTTATTTAGTCTTTTTTTTTTATAGGCAATCTCAATCTAAAAGACTCAAATGGTGACGATGTTGGAGTCCAGCAGATGGGATCCACAATGCACTGGGGTCCATTCTGGCCAATGAATGGTTATCCTAAGACTCATGCTACAAAGTAAGTCGTTTGTCTAGAAAATCGACTATTTTATCGCTATGTAGACAGAAACCGGGTGCCAAAGGCAAAACAGTATATTATCCGACAATATTTTAAATGAAATAAACCATGAACTTCGTTTTTAGGACGTTATCGAGTGGCACATTTGGAAGTTCTTTCCACAAGTATGCAATGGAGTGGACGGCGGACAACTTAAAGTAAGACAGTATAAAATTCTTCATCAATCTCATAGGCCTATTTTAAATCTGCTCAAGCAGTATATTTCATTATATTAGTAGTACTGTACAGCAATAGCATTGTGTTTGTAATTAATAGTTTCCTGCATTTATTCTTGTTTTTGTTTAATTACAAAAACTTGATTGGTTGTGTAATTAATGCTTTTGTGTACAGTTCTTTCAATATTTATAAGGTGGAGTGAGTGCAGTATCTGTTTGGGCTTGTGCCTATTCTCACTCCAGGCTAAATTATTCTTGATTGCCAAATAAATATTATCATTATTATTTATTATCAATTTTTTAAATTGTTATTTGTATAATAATAATAATAATAATAATAATAATAATAATAATAATAATAATAATAATAATAATAATAATAACAATAATAATATAGATTAACACATCATAGACGAAAACTTACTCTATGAAATTAACTGATTTTTCATTCCAGGTTTTTTATTGACGATGAATTAATTCTTACTGTTGATCCAGGCAGCGAAGGTTTCTGGGGACTGGGTAACTTTGCCAAAGATGCACCAGGCATTGATAACCCATGGCAGTATAGCAGCAGCAAGTTGGTACCATTCGACCAACCGGTAGCCTAACCTTGTTTATTTGAACCAATAACAAAATTGATCATATTTATAGTAATATTGATACTAATATCAGGCAATGATGATTATGATGATGAAAATTCTAGGGCTTTAAATATAAGATAAATCCTTGAATAATGATGATGATAATGATAAAGCTGATGATGATGATGATGCTGATGATGATGATGATGATGAAGATGATGAACATGACATAGACATACCTGTAATTCATTGCCACTTTACACTAATAATAACGATAATCGCTATAGTAGAAGTAATAATAATAATAATAAGAATAATAATAATAATAATAATAATAATAATAATAATAATAATAATAATAATAATAACAGTAATATTTGAAACTTTTATTGAGAAATCCTCCATTGTAAATGAAAATGCAGTTCAATCCATAAGTAAATACAAGAAAAAAAATCTTCAAAACTTTCTTGTAATGATCCAAGTAAAGTAAATTAAGTAAAGTAATCCTGAATGAAATATACTGTTAAGATGCAAGTTGGTAACAGAATAATGGTGGATTTACAAAGCAGTCACTTGAGCAACTTAAAAAAAGAAAACAAATGCACACTTGAGCACGCTACATGCAAATGAATATGTAAAGTCAAATACTGAATAAATGAATAACAAATTAGATTGTAGGACACATAGTAATGAAGAAAATAAAGAAATAAAACATAGCATAAAAACTACAATAATGATAATTACAGTAACCAAAACAACAATGACGATGATGAATGCAATGAGAATGATGATGATATGATGAACCAATTTGGAAATATATTCTTTTATAGAGAACAATTTACCCAATAATAATCATTCGAATTGTAATCTTGTATAGTTTTACCTCATTATGAACGTTGCTGTGGGAGGCACTGCTTATTTCAGCGATTCGTTTACAAATTCTCCGTATCCAAAACCATGGCTTAACAACTCACCAACTGCAGCAAAGGACTTCTGGCTGGGCAAGAACAACTGGTACCCTACCTGGAACCCCGACACCAACAATGGTGAGGATGCTGCCATGCAGGTGAATTATGTGAAGGTCTGGAAGCTATAATCAACATTTACGCCCCCAAAGTGCTGGAGAACAGTAGTGGTTCATTCTGCTGCTTGGAGTCTTTGTTTTTCTTTGGTATTTTCAGGATGTCTTTCTCTGTTTACATTTTTGTTTTTTCAAAACTTCAGTTTTTAAGCGCATAGCGACTGTTTCTCTGTAATTTCATTACCAAAATCACTATTTGTTCTCGTTCGAATTTGAATTATTTGAAAAAATAATCATTAAATTTATGATTGTTTTATGTGTCCTTTCTGTGTTTTATTCTCATATAATTGGCAGTGGACAGATGGTAAAACAGCATAAGTGAATTCAATCAATCGATCACTCCTGTACTTAATCGTTTACCTACCTTCTGATAATTCACTTACCCAATCACTCACTTATAATCAGTCGTTTACTCATCACTAACTTAATCACCCACTATTCACTCAATCACTAAATCAATGTCTGGTTCTACATGTCGATAATATTTCGGGTAGCGAAAAACATAATTCCTATAACCTCTCGAAATAGCATTGCAGTACCCGCTGCTATAAAGCGAATGCACGACGGTCTAGTGGTTATGGCTCTGGTTTGATTCCCACCCGAGTCACTTGCGAACTTGTTTTTCGTAATTTGGGAACGTACTGAATAATCAGCATGATAATACGTCATTCTATTAAGGTTTTTGATGCAAGAAGAAAAAAAAAAAAAAGCAGCTCCGGAATAGAAATGAATCTTTCTGCTTAGCCGCCCCTTGAATAATGTTGCTAAGCTTGTGGGACGTTCGTGTGCGCTTATTAGATGTGCGCGTATTCCTAGCCCTGTTCTGGTTGGTCAGTAGTGAATTTTGATTGACACTCCTGATAAGGCACATTACAACTTCCAGGATACAACAAAGACAATAAATAGCAGAAGATAGAGCAGCTTCCCAATATAGTGGAACATCAGTTCCAAAGGCATTGTTGGTACACGGAGAGCAATTGTACCCTCTCTGCGCAGCGGCGCTATATGGAAATAATAAACAGCAAACAGCAATAAAGGTGCCGCTCTGGTTAGTAAAATGTTCAAATTCTACCCCATCAATTTCAATACAAAATCCGCGGAGCAGCTCATTCTTCTGCTATTTAAGTTCTTTGGATACAATTACACCTGTAATCATAGACCACTTCAGTCACAAGTTTTTAATAACTACAGTTTGTTTATTTGCTCTCATCTGGGACCTCAAATAGCGACTAAAATATTGTGACATGAAACTATTGTAGAATCAAGTCTCTACAAGTTTGTAAAGTAAAACAAGTAATTAATCTGTGTAATAATAATGATGATATTGCGTTTAGATAAAATCAATCAATTTAGTGTATCAGTTTCTAACATTTATTGAAAGAACCCTATGACATGAAACTATTGTAGAAGTCTCAATATGCTTGTTAAGTCAAAAAAGTAATTAATCTCCATAATAATGATGATAATGCACTTGTATAAAGTCAATAAATTTAGTGTATCAGTTTCTAACATTTATAGAAAGAAGAAAAATAAAAAAATGCATAATGAAATGCAAGGCACTTCTACATATAGCACTCATACAGTATTTTATGTGTTTACATAAGTACCCAACCAATCAGGTCTATGGGATATCATGAAAAATAACATACCACATTGCACAAAAACTATAACCATTAAAGGCAATTACACAAGCAGTTCAAAAGAACTGTGATCAAGGTGTTTCTGCCAAGCAGGTAAAAAATGACAATAAACCTAACCGACAATAACTAAAATGGGTGAACCGAAACTGGACCACTTCAGCAAAAAAACTTTCAAATAGATAACAATATAAATCAGGCTGAATGGGAGTGAATGATGCGCTTACACACTGTGCCAGTTTGTCAATCTATAGATCCAAAGACCAGGGTTAATAATACCAACATAGCCAGCGTTCTCATGGGTTTTTCTATGAGTCACAAAGAAAATACAACATTTGCCACATTAAAGATGTATTTTCTGATGTTAAATACCAAAAAATCATAAAAATATTTTTTGAAATTAACTTGCCCATTTTAAAGTAACATAAAAGTTATCAACTTGAACATAGACATTAGTGTATTTAAAAAATGTCTACCCATCAGTATACAGCAAAAAATGATAGAAACACTTCCAGTTTTTATTTTAATTTTTTGGTTTAAAAATCAGGGTGCACATTTTTTGAATTCAATAATTTTTATGCACAAGTTAATAATTTGTATGCTATTGCAATATGAGGAAGTTTATTTCAAAATTATTTTTTATGATTTTTTGACATTAGCAAGGGGCAATACATCTTTAATGCTCATAACACATCCGCTCTAAATGATGATAATGTGTTTCTGGTACTGGTATAGGCATTTATGCATCTCTTCCTTGAGGTTATAAAGCATAATTCTTTTCCGTGGTCATTGGGTCCACATGCTTCAAGTGTTGCTGATGGTAATCAGTGCAGTAGCAAGCAACACCACCAGGTACCCATTTATACTCCTGGGTGGGGGGAAGCAATGCAGATAAAGTGCCTTGCTCAAGCGAAATGCACAGCGAGAGATTGAAACCCCGACCTCGAGGTTGGGAAACCAAACAATTCCCGCTGCGCCAAACTGCTTCCATGTTAAGCAACATGCCATTCACAACATTATTAATTTCATATCCTTTACATAGATTTGCCAAAGTGTTTGGATTCCTATTTTAACACATGCTCTTCAAACAATTATGTTGGTTGCAATATACTCCATAACAACGTACAAAGTTACACATTGTCAATACAACAGACAATGGAATGTGGCTCTATCTGATAAATATAAAACTATATCTTCTATAAAAGATAGGTTTGTTTCAATACCAGTGAAATGTATTTTATCATGTATCAACAACTACAGACAAATTTTATACATTTGTGTATTATGATATACGATTTAGTACATTAATTTTCCAGATCTCAGAAAACTACTTTAAAACTATATACAACAAAATCCAATTTAAAATGGCACTGATTATTCCACTGAAGTAATTGTTTTTCTATTCATTTCAATGTTCAAGGCACTGATATAGAAAACATAATATAAAATAGCCTGGCCACAGGCAGTAATAGGCTCAAAACGGACGGATAAGTACATTGGTAGTCAATGCAGACTAAATATATCAACCCCTCACCCTCCATCAGATTGCACGAAATACAGTAGTTAACCTCAGTATACACTGGCAGTAACCAGGATAGAGAGCATCCCAAACACTATCTGCTGTGATAACTGGACCTCTGGAATGCATTTTGCCTATGGTTTGCCAGGGTGAGTGACATCCTTTCTCATTTCATTTTTGAGATGTTCCAATCATAAAATACCATTCAGAACATACATTCTGAAAGCCCCTCCCCCAATATCTACATCTTAAACAATTTACAAAATAGGAAACATTTGTTGGTCCGTTTTCATATAAAATAAAAATAAAACACTTTATTTATAAGAAATTCTGTTTGTGGTACAGATCACCAATGAGGCTGTTAACATAAAAAGCTATGATCTGCTTAAACCAAGACTCTGATAGCTACCATAATACTTTATAATATCACGCAAACAACAGAGTGAAGTATCAGTTTACATGTGACTATAATTGTTAAATATTACCAATTTTTAACTATGAAACAAAGAAAAATGAAAGGTCCACTGACTAATCTCAGATAAGATAGTACAATACATACTCAAAGTATCGAAATGCACGCCATCGCCATATATTTGAATCCTGACACGATGGTGTGCATTTCGATACTTGGAGTATGTATTATACTATCTTAACCAAGAAAATTATTCATACTTTTACGGGAATGGAAAATAATTAAATAAATCATTTGAAAAGTTTTACCAGTAAATCAATTTTTGATAGTCAGATATCAATTATCATAACTTTTTTGAGCAAATTAACTAATTTAGCATTCAGCATTGACCTAAAAGCAATTTGGATTATTTCTTATCAAATATACTGCAATTTTTATTTGTTGGTGTTTGCGTGTATTGTCAGAGGTATATCAGTTAACTTATCTTACCAAAAGAATGCCTCTATTTCTCTTATTTGTTAAAATAATAAAAATAAAATGCAATGTTGCAATGACATAAAAAACAGATTACAAGATATAACATATAACCACAACATATCTTTGATATGTTTTACATAGAGAGAATGATAAATAGATAAATATACATTACAAAAAGCTATGGAAATTTTTGTTACAAAAATTATATAACAAGGTGAAACTTGAATGTAGTTTTACTGGAATGTAAAAAAAGTATCATAATTAAAGTGCAAAAATTGTGATTCATTCAATCTAGTGAATAATCCTGTGACAGTTAAACCCATTGCATGTGCACAACGTTCTATCAAAACATGGTTGCGTTACATGGCAATGGATATGGCAACTACTAGTTGTCGGCAGTGGTGGGCTAATGGAGAGGTGTTTGTTGGTTTGTGAAGTGGGGCAGGGTTTTTATTATGCTGGTAATTGTAATTAAAATTATTGTAGTTATTATTATTGTTGTTATAATAATAATAATAATAATAATAATAATAATAATAATAATAATAATAATAATAGTAATAGTAATAATAAAAATAACAATAATAATATAAGTAATGAACATATTTTAATTGTTAATTAGTTTTGTATTTTCACACTTATATATATTTATATATTTTTATAATGTATTTATACTGCTAGTCCATGTTTCCCCCATTGCTTGGAGAGCCACTCAGACAGTAATTTATTTTACTTTTTGGTAATCCTGCCGGCTCTTGGGGGAAACATGGATTACCTATTCGAATTTTCTGAATATTTTACTGTATTGTTATGATAAAAAAAAAAAAAAGGCGAAATAAATGAAATGAATGAAATGAAGTCAATTTAAGTGCAATTGACAATTAGTTGAGGTCAGCTGTTGTCAGTGTATCTTATCCTAGATGCAAATGCTGTGTAAAAGTTGATGATAATTCTTTTTACACAAAACTTTGTGAACTGGTAAAACAAATTATATCTTATGAAATTGATGCGTCAAAATAAAATTTTGTCATCCCCAAAAAGGCTTGCCCACCCCCCACACTAGTCGTACCGACCCCTCTCCCACCCCCGCGGCAATGGAAATGTTCAAAGCAAAAAAATTGCACTCAAGTAGTAGTTAAAAGTCACCTCTTATCATCCTATTTTGTGAGCTAGGCCCTCACTTTATCATTGATCTCTCCCCCCACCCAACTTCACCTTCACACCCCACCCATCAGGCCATTTCAAGACTCATAGAAGATACAGTATGCCACTGATTATATTTATTTCCTCAAAATTAGAGGAATGTTCTTAACTCCAACATCAAAAGTACCAATAGAAAGAATGCATGTAGTCTACCTACATAAGTATCTATAAAAATCAGCACCTACATAAACATTTCTATAAAATCTTACCCCAGTATTCTTAAAACAAACTTTAGTCATATTTCGAACTAAAACTTCAAATTTACGTCATTTCGTATTCTTAAAATGAACTTTGACTAAATCACACAAACCTCGACCAAAATAAAACTTCCGCAGGCTGATATTTTTAGTCGGTATTGATTCAGACTAAATAGTCAACTTGAAATATTTAACTCACTAAAAACATGCTTTTTGTAACTCACGATAGAGTGAAAAGAATAAAAACGATTGTATAAGTAGGCCAGATGTATCTTCAATGTGTTCAAGAAAAGGGGCATTAAGTTTAGCTTCCAAAAGGCAAAATTAACATGTGTTTTGCTAGCCACATGCGATAGTTTCTGGTTTGCACAAAACCTTCTCGCATTGCGGTCATGTAGCTTCATCACACCAACAACAAAAATGGCGCCACCCTCACTTGGTCTCAACCATAATTTTCGGACTGTTCAAATTGTTATATTTTAATGACTAAAATAGTTATTATTATAGAAAATCAATTAAGTGAATGATGATCTATTATGAAGAAATATGTTTTTGAAGCACAGACGGCAGCTTAATATTCATCCGTGTTACCAGACCTCTAAAATTTCGTCTGCTATTAAAATGAATTCTTTCTATTGGTTAGTTTGACAGTCGTTGCTTGCCAGCTGTCTTCTGCTTAACTACAACTCAGACTTGACTTACTCGTAGATAAACTTTGAATACGTTGTTTATGAATACAAATTGAATTTAAGTTGCAACTTGAGGACTACATGAAGTTCTAGTTCGAAGTTTGTATTTAGAATACGGGCATTAGTCTTTTAACTCCTTGATAGCTTATGTTTGCATTAGTTATGCATTGTTGCATCATGTCATTCAACTTCACAAATTTTGTACTTGCCTAAAAGTAGTCTTCCTCGACCTCATAAGATTGCACATACTAAACAATTCCTAACAGTTGACCTCTGCAGTTGCTGTAATGAGTTCCTGCCTTGTCTCTGCAGACTGAGGGTGCTGTTTCCTGCAGACCTTCCCTCTCTAAGCCTTAACACTGAATCGTGAGATAGCGTTTTGTCACTTGATGTGGGACCATTGACATGTAGGATGCCTTTGGACAACTGTGGATGGCAGTGAGTGCGTATACGGCTGATGACATCCTGGTACTTGACCTCAAGATCGGACTGTACACCTGACCCACCATGCCCACCAACACCTGTAATAATATTAAATTAAAGTGCAAAATCAAACTTTATTAAATTAATATTACCATATCATATCCACATAAGTTTGAACATATGATTACTATAATTTCATTTGAATTATCAATATATATGTATTGTGTATAACAATACATACAACAAAAATACATACAAAATACATATAACAAAAACAAGCTTAAAATCTCGGCAAATTGGTTAGTTGAATTAAAAACAATAATTGATGCTATTCCGGTTTCATGGAAAGAAAAAATACGTAAAAATCCAGGAAAACTAAATTGTATATGTAAAACAAATAAACAAAATATACAGGTGCTTAAAACAAAAGATTTTTATCATCAACTAATAT